ACAGGTAGTTAATTTTTCAGAAAGACACATGTAGAGCATTCAGCAATAGAACAGCAGCACTGGAAAACTACTTTCTTGGGTAAAAATTCTAAAGGTTTGATAGGACAGTAAAGAGGTTGACTGCATAAAGTCAAGATGGCTGCTGATCCTGTTAGTTTAAAAACAAGCCATGCAGTATGTTTATAAAATACTTCCTTTACACATTAAACAGTATCTTCCAAGCTAGGCTTGATTTTGGTACAAGCAACAAAACAAAACTTCTGTTAATATAGCATTTGTTGTAAAGATTCCAGGAACACACAAATCAAAATTCCAAATTATGATTCCCACAGGAACCGTTAACTCTTCTATACTACATAATGGAAAAATGTTACTAACATATAGGATAGTACAAACTACTTGGTAAGCAGAAACAAGCAGAGTTATGCTTGTTGTGGGAATCATCATTTTCAACTAGCTGAAGATATATAAAAATTGAAGCTATAAATGTCTACATTATTTTTTATACTTAATTTTGATTTTTCTTGATCCAATTTAATCAGCTTTGCATCTAAACTACAGTTGCCCATAAACTGCAAATGAATGTCTTTTGCAATTTTCATGTCCCAATACTGGGTTTCTTTTTCTCAGACAGGCCCCCTTTGCAGGATGGCATCATTATATCTTGTCCCTCTCCCAAATGTCAGGACATGTCTGCTGGGATCAATTTGTCTATATTCCTTTTCTCTGTGAAGGACACAGCAGGGGAGGAGAAATAGAATATCAAAGAGGAGAAAAATCACATTGAATAGCTCAAAAAGGTAAATAAGTACAACAGAAAGAGGGACCCTGTCACTATTCACTTCCTTCATGGTACCTTCCAAAGCAGAAATAAGAACAATAATAATGTCACTGTATATTTACAATTTCTGAAAGCGTTTAGTCGTAACATTATCTCATATCTCCACAGCACTATGAGAAGGCTAAAAGACCTTTTCATTGTTCAGCGCTTTCATGTCTCAAGCAGAATTTATTAAAGATGTGCTTTAATGTTATTTTTAAAAGGCTGGACTATTTAATCGCACTTACAGTATGTCATAAATATACCCACTTACCACATGCAGAGGATTTACTTACTACAGAAGGCAGAATATATGTAAAAATATATTACAATTATGAGCTAAACATTTAACGTACTTTAAGCTCTTTGTTTTAACTATATTCAGAAAATTCAATAATGAAACAGAGAAATAATTGTTTTTTTAAAACTATGCCTGGACAAAAGGAATCATGGATAATATATGCATTATTGGTTTCTCAGTTTGGTTTTATCTAAAAAGGCCACCATCTACAACTTCTGATGAGGAATCCTTTTACTTTCTAGGAACATCTTCCATTAGGAAATGTTTTACAGTAGAACTGAATTACTTTGGCTCTAAAACACCTATCTTTACCATTATGACCTTCATAACCTTGTGTGTTTGAAGGTTAACATGTTAACCTGTTTTGATTTGCAGTAGTACAAAGCTAAAGCTTTCAAATTTAAGAGGTATGCTGGTTGGCGTTTTTAATATATAAAATACTCTCCATAAAATAAAAAAAAAATCCTTTTACATTTATACAGTTGTTGTTATTAAGTGCCGTGGAGTCGCAGGTGACTTATAGCGACCCTATGAAGGAGAGTCCTCGACGCTTGGGTGCCTTTCATCCTCTCTCCAGGTCCATAGGGTTTCCGAAAGCAAGCTATTACGGAAGTGGATGCCACTCCTCCTTCTACGCTTGTTTAATCGGGGAGCTCCACCCCACTCTCTGTCTGCAATTTATATAGTACATCAGTAAAAAGATCAATTAAAATAGATTGTTGTTAGGTGTCATCAATTTGAGCATGACTCATAGCGACCCCTATGAACAACAGATCTGAACCCTGTTCTATCCTGCGCCATCCTCACGCTTCCTGACACACAAGAACCCACTGGAGCAGTCACTGTGTCAAAACACCTGGTTGAGGATCTTCCTCTCCTTTGTCAATCCTTCACCCTTCCCAGCATCATATCCCTCTCCAAGGAAGAGTACCTCCTAGAAACATGTGTAAAGTATGTGAGGTGAAGCCTCATCATTTTTTGCCTACCAAGATCACTCTGGCTGCACCCTCTCCAATATCTGTTCGTTCTCATGGCCGTCCATGGGCTGTTCGGTGCTCTTTTCTAACACCACAGCTCAAAGGCATCAATTTTTTTTCCTGTCATCCTTATTCATTGTCCAGCTCTCAGATTTATAGCTAGTAACTGGAAAGACTATGGCCTGAATCAGATGCACCTTAGTCTTCAAACTGACATCACTACTCCTCAACAATTTGGAAAGGTCTCTAGCAGATTTTCCCAGCACAATGTGCCGCCTTATTTCTTTATAAAGATTGTTGTTATTGTTGATTGCCATCGAATAGAGCACAACTCATAGCGACCCAATGAACAAAAGACCTGAAGCCTTTCTATAACTATCGCCGTTTCTGAAAGTTCAGAGTTTCCAGAGGCATGTTGTTTAGGAAGTGGATGCGACGATAATAAAAGCTACAATAGTGTTGTCATGTGCTGTCAAGTCAACTGTAACTCATAATGACCCTATTGACAATTGCTTTGAACTCTGTCCGATTCTGAGCCAATCTCACCGTCTCTGACATATCTGTCCGCATTGCCCCAGTTACTGTGTCAATGCCTCTCATCGAGGTTCTTCCTCTCTTGCACTATCCCTCTACGCTCCCGAACGTGATGTCCTTCTTTAAGAATTGGTCTCTCCTGGCAACATGCCCAAAGTATATGAGATGGAGCTTCAAAATCCTGTTCTCCAATAAACAACTTCACTCTCTCCAGGACATAACTGTTTGTTCCCTTGGTAGTCCATGGTATGTAACTCAAAAGCTAGCACAGGGGATGGCAGCCACCCCGACCTTCCCAATCACCTGCCTGCCTGGAGCTATTTTGCCACACCATCATCTCTCTTGGAAAATAGTCCCCATTCCTGGTTTTAATGACAATAATCTCTGTCCAGTGTTCCTCTGCTCTTCATCTACTTCCCCAGAAACCAGAATCCTTGGTCATCATTTTGCACAGGAAAATCTCTGTGTCCCCAAGTCAGTGCCACCTCAACCTCAGCTAGTCTTCCCCAACCTAAATGAGAACCCCAACCTTGTATTATCCTCGCTCTGGCCTGGGCTTCACAGTCATTTTGCAGCCCCGGCGCCTTCTTCAGAAGATAGCTCCCCTCCTACTTCAAAATATGATTTCATTAAAAATAAAATTTTTTAAAAAGCTAGCACAAATGAATGTCCTGCCTGAGAAATCTTGGTTATTTTGTATGCAACTAAATGGTAATATATTAAATGCTAAAAGAAAAAGAAATCTAAAGAACTACTAATTTAGCATGTTTGAATGTGGAAGAAGAGATGGCATCTCAATATTACTACTAATTATTAAATATTATTGCCATGAATAAAGGTTAACACAAAAGTTTCTAGATAAAACGCACAAAGCTAATCTCCGAGACATTAGTATTGAACTTCAGGTTTTTTGCCCTCTCATATATATATGTTTTGAAAAGAAAGAGTTATCTGGGTTGAACACAAAGCACAATCTCAATACTATTTCCAGTTACCAGAAAGATGCAAAGATGTCAAGTAGGTTGAAAAAAATTAACAGATGGGATACAGCTCCCACTTCTTCTCAAAGATATAAAGGCATGCAAAAAAAAAAAAAGAAGGCATCCTGCTGTCGTATTTGAGTCATCAGTCAAACATGTCTGCAAGGCCATAAAGGCTTTCTGTATCCATGCAATACGGTTGTTGTTAGAGAAAATATAGATCTAGCCAGTCAGCCTGATTACCTTAAACACAATGCCACAAACCCCTTCTGGTTATCTTTATTCAAGGCAGTAACTGAAGAAGTCACCAAGTTACGAGAATCATGGTGAAAAAGTGAAAGTGGTAAGGTTTATATTTGTTGAGCAATCAACTTGTAAAATGTCAAAACTTCATATTCTTAAATGCCTTAAAATTACCAGATAAATTGACAGAATAAAAAACACCCCTTACAATAGCTTACAAACTAATATTTCATATTTACTTAAATTAAAACTGAAGACTTCCATGAGTGACTAACAGTAAAACAGTGCATATGAAAGAATAAATCAAAGGTTTCACCTGAAGGAAGAGTTTAAGGAATCATTACATGTTTGTGCAATGGATACTACGGAGCTGTTAACAGTGTATTCTTGAAGTTCTAAGGGGAAGGAAATGGTTTATATATTGTAACAGGAAAAAGGAAGGTTTGCATTCTATGTGATATCAATTTTGGAAAAAAGAGACAAAATATATGAACAGAGAAAGGATGAGAAGACATATATAAAAAATATTAACAGAAGTTACCCAGGCTAGAGAGAATTTAATGCCTTCACCTCTTTTATAATGAAAAGAGGAATTTATAAATAAAGAGGAACTTGTTAAATTTTCAAAAAATCAAATACATTCTTTATAGCTATACACATACACAAAAGAAAATTGAAACCTTGAAAGCATCATTAAGTAATCAAATATTAATCAGCATTTCAAGTTATAATATCAATATTTTCAAAACTCATGGTTTCCTTATATTTTCTGAAAATTATATAAGGACAATATATATTAAAAAACCCATACAACACAGATTTTTTTTTCTTTTCTTTTTTTTAGTATATTCTTCCTCCTTTTTCTTTGTACAACACAGATTTTTATCAAAGGCTTCAGTCTTTTTTTTTTCCCCTTGGGGTTATCATTAAAATAACATTTAATTATAATACATGCAAATTAGTTACATTATTATCATTCTATTTAGCTTTACTTTTTAAAATGATTTTTAAATGCAACATATATATTTTTATAGCATCTTTCCATTTAATTTTCCCCCCATTCATTCATTGTTGCATTTTCCTCCCTGCCCACCCCTCCTCGAGGCTGCAGTCTTCTGTATAGTCTTCCTCATAAGTCTCTGTGTCTAGAAAATGAACTTCATATGCTTGATTCCGTATGTTTTGAAGAAAACCATGATAATGAGTGCCCACAATCCCAAAATAAAACCTCCAGGAGGATGCCATTCTTTCAGCTTCGGTTTCTGAAAAACAAGAATGACATATTAAATATAACTCTGTTCAGAAGTGAACACTGGTAACTTAGATGTTTACTAGTATTGTATTGATGATGCAAAGGCATTCAACTGTACAAATCATAAATTGTGGATAACGGATAACATTGGGAAAAAGGGAATCCCAGAATACTTAATTGTGCTTACGCTGAACTTGTAGTCATACAGAATCTGTAGAAAAGAAGCAACACTTCAAAAAAATCAAAGGGTTAGTTCATGATTTAAATTCAGGAAAGATGTATCAGGGTCATATCCTTTCATAATAGTTATTCAGTCTGCATGTTGGTGGTAGTTGTGTACCTTTCAGTCAGAACCAACTCATAGTTGACCCTCCAGAGGTTTTGAGGGGCAGCAAACCCTACAGGAGGAGACTGTTCAGATTTCTCCTGTGGAGGAACTAGTGGATTCAAACTGCATGACTTTGGTTTGACAGTGAAGTCCCTTACTCATTAGACCATCACTCAAAAACTAGATTAAATAAAGAAGGGTGCCGCACTAGATTAGAGGAAGACTCATTAACAATCTGTGATACATAAATGATTCAATTTTGCTTACTGAAAGTGAAGAGAACTTGAAAACAAAAAAATAATGAAAACAAAAATCCTCACAACTGTACAAAAGCCAACATCATAGTATAAAAAATGCTTGGTAAAGGGTAGGAAAAAGAAGACTTCCAGTAAGATGAACTGACCCAATGTTTGCAATAATAAGCTCAAAAACAGTTGTAAGGCTAGGATATAACTACACAGCATTTAGTTGTATTGCACAGAGTTGCTATGAGTTGAATGACAACTATGTAGTCAAATGTAGGTACACTGGTATGCCAATAATGGTAAAGAATTCAAATTGAGTACATGTTACAGTGGTTATTACAAAGATCTGTTTTAGTTTACCGTTTTTCCTCAAGACCTTCCCTAATCACCTATTTAATCTTCTTCTCCAAATTATTCAGCAGCTTTACAGCCTTTCTTATCTTAAAATTTCATTTTCATTACTTTATTAGTGTAATCTGTCTCTTTTGTTAGCTAGAGTTCTGGGAGGAACTTTTCTCCTATATAGTTCATTGTTCTATTCTCAGCACCTACTTGCCATAGTATTTACCACACAAGAGACACCAACATATTAAGTAAATCTGTTTATGAACAAAACACATACTTGTTCTGTGCACAGAGCCTTTGGCCATGTTATTTCCTTGAAGTTGAGTACTCTGCATCTCGTTCTTTCTTTATTCACATCCCTCAAAATCGAGCCTTGCATGTTTCTTCACCCAGTAAGAAAAGGCATATTTAACGTCCCCCATTTTATTGTCATTTCAATAGCTATATCTCATGGCCCTGTGACTAGAGGTGTATTACTACAATCTCTTTATAATCCTATCATGTGAATTAGTGTTCACAATTATAAGGAGACTATGATGTTTGAGAATCCTATTTTAGAGATGAATAGAGTGAAGGAAGAGAAGTAATTTGACATCCATTTTAACCACCATGTAAACTAAGTCCCAGAAAAGAATTCACACCTTAAAATCTGATTTTCCCCTACATCGTTAGAATATCTACTGTATTCTTAAAGCAAACAATATATAAGAAGACATCTGTGATTATGAAAATTAAATACATAATAATTTTAAAAATCAGGTTATGGTGTGTTGTGATTGAAAGCATACACGGTTTACAGTCAAATAAATCTGGTTCAAGCTTCGGCTACACAGGTCAGTAATATACACTTTACAGGAATCAATGAATGCACAAATACTGACATAGTGTCCTTTTGTAAAAATTTTGTCTAAAACTACTTATTTCTACATAGAAAAATGACAGTATGAAACTCAAAGTACTTTTAAGACCAGTTTTATTTTGTGACTACATGTTGTTGTTGTTGTTATGTGCCGTCGAGTCGCCTGTGACTCATAGCGACCCTATGTACAGCAGCCCTAAACTCCGCTCTGTCCCAATTATCCCAGTCACTGAATCAATCTACCTCATAGAGGGCCTTCCCCTCCTATGCTGTCCCTCCACCCTCCCAAGCATGATGTCCCTCTCTAAGGACCGGTCTCTCCTCACAACATATCCAAAGTATGTTAGACGGAGCCTCAGAATCCTTGCCTCTGACTACATGTAGTATAACAAAAATGGAAGTTAATTCAATTATAAGGGAATAGTAAAAAATGGTTTAAGAATATAAAATATAAATAGATAAGTATTAATTGAAAAAAATTGAGTTAGTCAAGTAATGAAAATTGAGAGCTTCCATAATTTTCAAGGGTGCTTTAAATGTGAGCAATTTCATTTATGGGTAAGTATTTGGTAAATTTACAAATTTACAGTTGAATGCTCTGTAAAATTATAAAGTACTATATAAATATGTCCTTATAGTCCATAAAAATTAAATCAACAGAATATAATACGATGTTACTGAGTATCTCATGGCTGCCAAAAGAACAAACAAGTCTGTCTTGGAGGAAGTAAAATTAGAGTGCTCTTTAAAAGCAAAGGTAGGGAAACTTCAACTCACATACTCTGGGCATGTGGTGAGGGGGTATCAATCCTTAGGAAAAGATATGCTGGGAAAGGCTGAGGGTCAGAGAAAGAATAAAACCCTCAACAAGATGAATTGAGGACAGAAACTTCCCTGACTATAGGCATTTGGGGATCCTTGTCTCCTTGGCTCCAGTACCATCCCAGGGGCCAAACAGGATAAGAGAGTTTGGGACATAGGTAGGGCTTTTCTGCAAGAGGAAGGGCTGACTTGAGATCCTCCTGCACATAAACTGCTTTAAGTAGGTGGCCCTGATCCCACACCACTTCAGAGACAAAGGAACACATAAGCTTCAGGACAGAATCATCAGGTGAGTCACTGCCTTCCAGAGCAAGCACTTTTGGGAAAGATGGGACTGAAACTTCCCTGGTGATAGGTTGTTGCATTTGGAGATCTTTGCCTCACGACTGTGGGACCATCCCAGGGGCCAAACAGGACAAGATAGTTAGAGACAAAGAGCTAGAAGCAGGGCAAAGATTTTCTCAACTGGTACGTTGAGCTGCAAGTAAGAGAGCTGACTTGAAACTCCCCTAGAGAGAAACTGCTCCAGTGAAGCACCAGGTCTCATACTACTCAGCCACGCCACAGACGAAGGAGGACAACAGCGTTTGGGACTGGGGACGATATTAAGGCAAGATTCCTGCAGGGCTACAGTGCACAACATAAAGAACGTATAGGACTTCATCATTATATTTATGTGCCGTCAAATCATTTGTGAATCGTAGCCAAACTATGTACAACAACAGCTCTGAATCCTACTCTATCCTGAGCCCAACTTATAATCTGACATACCAATCCCCATTACTCCAGTATCTGAGTCAATCCAGCTCATCTAAGGTCTTCCTCTCCTGTGCTGTCCCTCCACCCTCCAAGAATGGCTGGTTCCTCCTTGAAACATGCCCAAATTATGTCAGATAAAGCTTCAGAATCCTTGCCTCCAAGGAGCAGCTTAGTTTAACCCTCTCTAGGATGAACCTGTTTGTTCTCCTAGTAGTCCATGATATATTCAATACCCTTCTCCAGCACCACAGCGCAAAGGCATCACTTCTCCTCCTATCATCCCTAGTCATTGTCCAGCTATCTGATGCATAACAAAGACCATAGCCTGAATCAGGTGCACCTTAAGTCTCCAGACTGACAACGTTGCTCTTGAGTACTCTGGAGGGGTCCCTGACAGCAGATTTTTCTCATGCAATTCATCTTTTGATTTCCTGGCTGCTGTTACCAAGAGTGTCGATTGTAGAGCCAAGCAAACTAAAGCTATTAACAATCTCGATCTCTTCATCTCCCTATCATGATGCTGCCAATCGTCTCAGTGGTGAGAATCTTTGTTCCTTTGACGTTGAGCTTCAATTCACATTGAAGGCTGCAGTCCTTGACTTTTCTGCAGCAAGCACTTTAGGTCCTTCATACTTTCAGCAAGCAAGGTTGTGTTGTCTTCATAACAGAGGTTGTTGATGAGTCTTCCTCCAATCCTGATGCTGTGTTCCTCCTCATAGAGCCCAGCCTCCCAGATGCTCTGTTCTACATATAGATTGAAAAGTTATAGAGATAGAATGCATCCTTTGAGCACACCCTTCTCGATTTTGAAACATTCAGTGTTTCCTTGCTCTGTTCTGATGACTGCCTCCTGGTCCAAGTATGTTACTGTTGTTGTTAGGTGCTATCAAGTAGAGCACAACTCATAGTAATCCTATGAACAAAAGATCTGAACCATATTCTATCCTGTATCATCCTCACACTTCCTGAAACACAAGAGCCCAAGTATACCCCAAGTATATATAGCACAAGGGTTCCAAGTATGGGTTTCGCACACACACAATCAAGTGTTCTGAGATTCCCATTCTTCTCAGAGTTAGCCCCAGCAAGTTTGTTGAAGGACTTTAGGAAAGGCAAATTTTCCTATAAAGGACTTTCATTAGAGGAAGTGGCTCACTCCACAGATCGAACATTTTTACCTGTGTTATGCAGATGACACAACCCTGCTTGCTGAAACTGAGGAAGACCTGAAACACTTGCTGCAGAAGGTCAAGGACCGCAGCCTTCAATATGAATTGAAGCTCAACATCAAGAAAACAAAGATTCTTACCACTGGGCCAAATGGCAGCATCAGTATGGATGGTAAAGAGATTAAGATAGTTAACAGTTTTCGTTTACTTGGTTCCACAGTTAACACTCTTGGTAACAGCAGCCAGGAAATCAGGAGATGAATTGCACTGGTAAGTCAGAGTACTGAAGAGCAATGAAGTCAGGCTGGAGACTAAGGTGCACCCGATCCGGGCTATAGTCTTTGCAATTGCATGCTATGCATCGAAGAGCTGGACAGTGACTAGGGATGGTAGAAAGAAAATTGATGTCTTTGAGCTGTGGTGCTGAAGAAGAGTGTTGAATATACCATGGACTGCTAGGAGAACAAACAAATTCATCCTGGA